ATGTTAACGTAGGAAGCCAAGGTCGAATTTCAGACGGAGGAGTTTATAAACATTCCGAATTGTATCGAAAGCTAGAAAATAATCAACTTAATGTACCAGCACCACAAATTTTAGAAATACCCTACATAACTAACGTACCATATGTAATATTAGGAGATCAAGCTTTTGCATTAAGCACACATTTGATGACACCATTTGCGGGAATTCATCCAAAAGGATCAAAAGAAAGGATTTTCAACTATAGACTATCAAGAGCACGCCGAGTAGTAGAAAATGCTTTTGGAATCTTGTCGGCAAAATTTAGAGTTTTGAGAAGTACAATGATTTTAAGCCCAAAATCAGCCAAAATCATAGTTCTAGCTACTGTTCACTTGCATAACTTTCTTCGCAGAGATTCTTTATTAAAACACTCCTTCTGATATTCGTATTTTTTTGTCAAGATATTTTATGACAAATGGATCAATTGATTGGCAAGAAAGATATTAATTAATTATATAACGTTTGGTAAAAAATGGCCAAAATCATCCTAATGTAATTAATAAACCCTTAGCATTATCTGATTTCATAGATTTTGTAGAATGCGGGCTGTATGTATCACTAGTAATTCCGCCCGCAGCTTCGCCCGCGTGGGCTTCAGGTAATGATATATATTTATATATATAGCCTATAGCTTTCCTCAATAAATGGGCTATCTAACACTGAAAGAATTTTTCAAATCGAACCAGTAGTTACTGGGATTAGCGCGTTTAAGCAAACAAACAAACTTTTCAGCTTTATAATATTAATATAGATACATCAAAACTAATTTTTAAAAGCGGAAAGATTTGTTTCTTTGTTACCTACAATTTAACTCAAAAACTACTCAACCGGTTTCGAAAATTTTTTCACCATTAGATACAAAGCTACATCTTCACCGAGTAACATTAGTTTATAATTTATTAAGAAACAACCAGACCACGTGGGCGAAGCCGTTGGCGGAAAGCTGTAATCTAATAAAAATATTAAAGTAATAGGTAATTACCACTGCATCAATAGGGTTATTCCTGTCATGTAAAAAACTGAATGCTTCATAAGCAAACCATTTAGATTTATAGGCCTTGTTTCTACCTGCAACAGAAAAAAGAACATTATTAAAATAACTGATACATAAGCTGATCTTGTGTCTTATTTACTCGCACTACTGTTTGTTGAGATATCTTAATGATTATGATGTCAAATGAAAGGTCTAGTAAAACTATTATTATTACCTACTTATATTTATATTATTAATATTATTAACTATTATTACCTACTATTATAAAATGTAATAAGATTAAACTTACCACAACCAGTGATATTGCTTGTTTTTTCTCTATTTCTCTCCCTTCTATAAGAACTCAAAAGACTTTTCATTTTCAATTTTAAATCTGCTTTTGGTTGAACGAAATTTTTCGCAATTTCTTCCCATAGATCTTCTCTCACGTTATTATTGTGATATTCTTTACGTCTAGTATCCCATAATGGACTATGGGAGGCATATATTTCAATAAGACGAATTGCTGTTTCGTTATCCATTTTTTCAAGATACGTCCGTCCACACACAATCACTGGCGAACCAACACTAACACCGTTCGCGGCGATCGGCGTGCGCGGCGGGTAGCGCGCAGCTGCCGCGCGCGGCAGTCGTCCAATCACAGCGCGGCTAGCCGCGCGCGGCAGCCGCGCTCGAATGCCGCGCATTGTTTGGACACACCATAAGGTGAACGAACTCGCACGAGTTAATAATTTGAAAGAACTGGAGGCGTTAAAAAAGAATTTATTGATAGTACAACTTAAGCTTATTTTCAGAACAGAGTCGGAGATAAAATGAACATTGGTTATGGCACGCAGGCCGCTTTTATACTATTTTACTTATCAGCTAGTTTAACATGAATGTTATTATCTACCCTTAACTAATGGTTTACCATTAATATTGGATGACAGTTTCCTGAGGGTTATCTTGTGTGACCTATTTCAGGAATGTGGATTTTTAAGACATCCCTTATTTTATCATGCGATGATGAGTTAATCGTAATGAATAATAGGGTCGCAAGTGTTCTCTCTCGTGCCCTCTTCTAGGGATGAGGGTTTAAGGCTGGTTTTAGAATCGCGCTGATCGTCAGCGCTGATAGGTCAGCGCGTAGCCTTTTGGCGCTGAGGGTGAGTGCGAAACGTTTGTGTCGTGCTGATCGCCGCGCAGTACAGACGTAGACACTAGACGCAAAATGCGGAGAGCAATAATTATTGCTGCTTTGTACTACCTATCGAAAAGATAGAAAAAAGTGCGTCGAAGACTTCATGTTCATCCATTGATTGAGCAGAGAGCCGTCGCAGGAGAATTTGTTACGTTATATGGGACTTTAAGGGCTGATGAAACAAAATTCTTTAATTACTTTCGAATGTCGACGCGAACTTTCGACGAATTACTAGCAAAGACAGATTACAAACTAGTCCATTCCAGCTTACGACGTGTGCCTATACCACCGATTGAAAGACTGATGGTGACGTTAAGGTAAGAAAAACATTTATATAATCATATCATAATATTTATTAGGAAAGAACATTTTTTCACATTATTATTAATCGTTACGTCTGGCTGTTTGATACCCAGAGTAACCTGGAGTCTCATCATTTGTTTCGTACTCTGAGTAACCTGGAGTTGAATTATTGTATGATGAGGATAGATACGGGTCATATTGCGGTGGAGATCTTATGTCATGTGAGTGGGAAGATAACGAGCTATTTGATCGGTAATTTTTAATTTCCATGGCATCGCGCATCACTCTGGACCGAAACTCTAATTTTTGTTCTACATTGAAACTTTTTAAAATTGGACCTAAAGAAGAAAAGAAAGCCAGGTCGTCAGCAGCAATATCTGATGTTTGGTTACTTAATAAAGTTAATAACTCTCTTTCAAAAGATGGATTTTTTGGAATTTCTTGAATACTTTATTGCGATCTTCTTTTTCTTTTTTGGTTCCAAAGTCTTTGTGATGAACCGGAATTATGGTCGTTTTGGTCGTCCTGTAAAGTGTCTGAAGATGCTTGATGCGTTGGCATTTCAGATTCTTCCGTATTTTCTGAAGGCGGTGATGCCGTATTTTTCATATTTGCTGAGGGTGATGGTATGGTTTCGCTCAGTGATTCATCTACTTCATTCTCATCTGCCGGAGTCAGGAAGCTGAGTTCATCATAAAAGATACTTTTTGTACTTTGGTGCAGCGCTTCCAGAAGGTGTTTTTTTCATAGCATTCTTTGTCCTAAAGTATGCATCTCTGGCTGTCTTCCATCTTTGTTGGATCAGTTTTCCTGAAACAATAAAATCATTTTTTATTTATTTTATTTTATAATACAAACGATTGTATAATGCGTTTTACAAAATTATTTTTTACTAATTTATGCATCCAGCAACGTTATCCACAGATCCCACTAATATTATAAATGTGAAAGTTTGTATGTTTGTCTGTTTGTATGTTTGTCTGTTTGTCTGTTTGTCTGTTTGTCTGTTTGTATGTTTGTCTGTTTGTATGTTTGTCTGTTTGTATGTTTGTTACTCAATCACGCAAAAATTACTGAACGGATTTGGATTAAATTTGGTACACATATAGTTTATGAGCTGGATTGAGATATAGGGTCCATTTTATCCCGGAAAAATGACAGGTTCCTGTGGGATTCTCAAAAAACTAAAGTTGTCGCGGGCGGCCGCTAGTTACAAATAAATAGTAACGTGCTAATGTGACAGAATTCAATTAATCAATATTATTTTTTATTTTCAGATTTTTGGTTACGGGTCGGACATATACAGATCTACATTATTCATTTAGGATTGGAATTACAACAATCAGTCTAATCGTGGACGAAGTGTGTAAGGTAATATGGGAAACACTACAGGATGAATGCATACCAACAAAAACCTCTGACATGTGGCAAGAAATTGCAAACGGGTTTCTACAAAAGACCAACTTTCCAAACTGCAGCACATTCGAATTATACATCCAAACGGTGGTGGATCAATGTTCTACAATTATAAGAATTTTTATTCCATAGTTCTCCTGGCCATGTGCGATGCAGATTATTGTTTTACATATGTAAACATTGGATCGTATGGAAAAAACTCCGATTCATCTATATTCCAGAACAGTATACAGGAGCCTAGAAAATAACACTTTGTATATACCAGGACAGAAGCCACTGCCTGGAACAAATACTCCAGTTGAACATGTAATTGTGGGTGATGGTGCTTTTGGAATATCTAAAAAAATTATGAATCCATATGCGCGATCTTATGACCTACAAGAAAAAAATATTTAACTATAGGCTGAGCCGTAGTAGACGATATATAGAATCAACATTTGGGATAATGTCAAACAAGTTCAGAGTGTTTCATAAACCTATTAATGTAGGTTTTAATGTTGCAAAGAATATAGTTAAAGCATGCTGTGTATTGCATAATTTTATTAGACTTCTCGACGGTTATCGTATTGAAGATACACTTACAATTGAGGGTATGGTAGAAATACCAACTGTACCTACAAACAGGTCTGGCAACGCTCTGCGAAAACATTTTGCTGAGTACTTTTTGAGTCCTATTGGTAGGGTGCCGTGGCAAGACTCGTGTATATTTTAAAACTCTTTACTTTGTTCTAGTGTATGTATTGTAAGATAATAAGGCTAAACTGTACTTTCTGGGCCCAAGAGGTGTTACTTCACACTAGGTTAGGTTAGTGTTGTGACCATATCGCGCGAGCCGAGCGCGCCACGGCAGCGCAGTGGCCAGCGAAGCGCCAGAAAAAAATCTTCGTTAATACAGTCGTTTTCAACGAAAAATTGAACAAATTACCTCTTGGGCCCAGCAAGTACAGTTTCACCGATAATAAAATAAAACACTTACCAAGTTGTTGTTTTTCTTCCGCCGAAACATTTTCGAATAATTTGATGACAATATCCTCCCAGGATTTGTTTCTTGCATCTTTATTTCTATAGAGTGCATCGGATGCATCCCACAAATTCCTTCTCAGACGTACTTCATCGATCACTCGACTTGTGTCCACATCGCGATTCGACATGTCTGTACACGCTGACGGCGTCCTGTCGGCTTGACAGTAAAACGCTCACTGAAGACGGAGGCGCGCGTGCGATGGTCATCGCTGACTGCTACGCGGCGCTGACGCGCGACGCGTACGGCCGCTGAGCTGTCAGCGCTGACCACCGTCCGCGCTGATAGCTACGCGTTATTCTATAACGCTTCCTAGAGTTTCATATATTTCAGGTATCAGCGCTGACGGTCAGCGTGCGGTCAGCGTGACTCTAAAACCAGCCTTATATTATCATCAACTTTATCATGTGCTTTTCTCTCCTCCCCCAGTGTTGAGTATCTTCGTATCTTCTTTCGAAGAACGCAGAAAACGATAATCAAAGTTGTTATTAGTCCAATTGTGATATATGATCATGTGTATAATGTTTCTACTTTATTATCTACTAATTCATGACGTTGTAAGAGCTTGATTTGTTCTATATCAGATACGATTTCATCTAAATCGTGAATGAAAGGCACTATCCTTTCTGTTGACGGTTGTATATTTTGTATTTTCGTTATAATGTCTTCTATTTTTACTGCCCAACGTCCATACCTTTGCAATAAAAGAGCTTTGATACTTTGCCAAGAGAAATCAAGGTTACCTCGATAAATAGTATTAGCAGCTTCACCTGACAATCTGGACAACACTAAATTAACTTTAGTAACTTCGTCTCCCGGAAAGGTAATAAAAAAACGCTCGCATGCTCTAATAAATCCATTAAGATCACGTTCACTACCTACCGTTACCACAAAAAATAGTACAAAGATTTAATCAAAAATGATATTCTCGTAATATTGTTTCAACTGTAAAACTTGCGTCACCTGGGGATGGCAGTGATACTTGATATTGTGGGGATGGTTGTGGGTTGGATGAGTGGACTTTGCCTGGGGTTGGCAGTGAGACTTGATGTTGTGGAGATGATTGTGAGTTAGTTGAATGAGAGTAACCTGGGGATGGCAGTGATACTTGATATTGTGGGGATGGCAGTGAGTTGGATGAATGAGGGTTACCAGGGGATGGCAGTGAGACTTGATTTATTTATTCAAACTTTATTGCCACAATTACAAAAATGGACAAAAGGCGGACTTAACGCTAAAAGCATTCTCTGCCAGTCAACATTTAGGCATAAAGAAATCCACGAATGCGGCTATAATAATAAAAAAAAAAGTGATTTACTTTAAACATACACCAGTAAAGTAACTACATAAATATTTATTTAAAAATAAACCTAAATATACATGCATAGAATACATTTAAATATATTACTTATATAAATATTTATAATATTATATATATATATATATATACATACACATACATAGACATAATTATTATTAACACCGTTTATAAAATATATTGATGATGAGACTGTGAAGGGAAATTGTGAGTTAAACTTAACGTTCTTAGCTTTCTAGGAGAAGTTCATGAACTTTCTTCTTAAAACTGCACCTAGTAGGTGACCTTCTAACGGGGTCAGGGAGGCTGTTCCAGAGTCGTGAAGATTGGAGGGCAAAGGAATCAGACATATAGCCAGAGTGAAAGAGAGGAAGAGATAGTGCAAGAGTATCAGTAGAACGAAGTTGAAGTTCATGTGAGTCACAAAGATATTGAAATTTGGATCGTAAGTATTCTGGAGAGTGAGGGTTGAACAGGATAGAATATAGAGTACACAGCATTTTCTGCTGCCTTCTTTGACGTATAGGAAGCCATCTAAGTTGAGATCTAAACGCCGATACGTGGTCAAATTTACGCAGGCAGAAGATGAAACGAATGGCATTGTTGATGAGACGATCCAATTTGTTCAGAAGATCAGCATTCAGATCGGGATAGCTTGATGTTGTGGGGATGGCAGTGAGTTGGATGAATGAGGGTTACCTGGGGATGGTTGTGAGTTAGATGAATGAGAGTAACCTGGGGATGGCAGTGAGACTTGAAGTTATGGGGATGGCAGTGAGTTGGATGAATGAGGGTTACCAGGGGATGGTTGTGAGTTGGATGAATGAGAGTAACCTGGGGATGGCAGTGAGGCTTTATATTGTGGGGATAGTAGTGGGTTGGATGAATGAAGGTTACCAGGGGATGGTTGTGAGTTGGATGAATGAGAGTAACCTGGGGATTGCAGTGAGACTTGATATTGTGGAGACGGTTGTGAGTTGTATAGTTGTTGGCTAATGGGAAAATGTATGTTTTGGTAAACTGAGTTTGGGAAATTCCTTGCGTGATTGTCTTGTTGTTTAAGGGTATACATTATTTTATCTATTTCCATCATGGCGATATCTCTTGTACTTTCTTTTAAACCTCTTAATTTATTACACAGTAAATTGCAATACAGTCGCCATCAGATATATCTGAGCATACAAGGTGACCAAATACATCTGAACAGTTAAAATGTCATTAAGTTCTATACACTACAAGTGACCATAAATATCTGAACATTCATTACTTCAATAATACTTCAATAATATCTGAGCAGATGCCTGTCAATAATATCTGAACATACAACTTTTCAATAATATCTGAACACGTCAATGATTATGTATCTACGCAGATCATGCACTGGGCTTACATATTTTGTTACTGTGTGATTGAAAGGATGAACTAAAAACAAAGGCTAAATATAAGGAATAAATACGATGAGAAGGGAATAAAAATCTATCAGAAAATCATTCGTGTAGGTCACCACGAGTAGTAGAAATGGAAGATGCCTAATTTTTTCTCTATTTATTTTTTATAATTAACGAGAAGTTATGTTTTTATTTTATTCTATAGATTAAATTCTCAATATCTCCTTAGAAATTTATTTAAAAATAAGACAACTGCGTTTTTTAACCGAAATAGAAATAAGTAATAATTTGGAGGAAACATTTGTCCCACTATTTCCATTGCAGTGGAAAATGGAATTCTGTACTTGTCATGCTCAAACTGGGCGCCATCCTTACAAAAATTTTATTTACTGTCTGAGTGGATGTGTTTGTTTGGTTTGGGTATGTATTATTTATAAAAGTGAAAATTAATAAAAAACAATTTTAATTCTTATAAATTTTTATTGAGTTAAATAATCAAAAATGTAAACGAATTAACTTGGTACACTACCTCAGTAGATGCTCAAGCTTAAGTATTTATTATTATAATAAAATTATAATCGAGATCGAAATAAAAAAAAGCAACTTCTGATACAATGAGTTTAAAATTAAATAGTAACAAAATGTTTTATTGTTATAATTATACATGAGATCAAATCAAAAAGTTATCAGGCAATTAGTAAGGTTCTTGAAATTAGCGTATTATTATTAGCTTAATAATTTCCCAATATTATCAATGCCCGTTTAGACGGGAATTTCTAACAGACGTAGACGGCCGTAACGTATATTGTCGAATTTTCAACAAAAACGCAGACGAATTAGTTATTTTGCTCACCATTTTTAGGGTTCCGTAGCCAAATGGCAAAAAAAACGATATTCATACAAAAATAGAAAAAAAAACGTATGGACTTAGATTTTTTTTTTATCAAATCTTTACGTGTGGGGTACGGATAGGTCTATAAAATTGATAGGTCTATAAATGAAATATGGGACCCATTTCCACTAAATGTTGTTAGAATTCATAATGCAATAAGGTCGAAATTTTAGTTTGATAGTGTTTTAATGACATAATGTCATAATGAATCGACCCTTGAAATGATAACCTCTTTATAAAATACTATTTCGTGTCAGTGTCAGTGAAAAAAACAGTTTAATGTGACATTTTTACAAAGTATAATTCGGAAACGGAACATAACATAACATCGGAAATGATCTTTTGCTGTCGCTTCAGATGACGTAATTGCATGGTTGCCCCTAGTAACGTAAAGTTGTCAATGGTAAACATTATGACATTGACGTTGCATTAAAATATTAGCTTTATACAGCTTGCAGCAGATTGCTACACGATATTCAAAGGTGGGGCCCAGATGAAAGCTCGTGTCTGTACATTACCATGCAAACTTCTAGCAAAAGTTGATTTGAACGAGATCAAGCAATTACCGCAATTTACATTTAATTCAATATAAAAATATTTATTTAGATAATGGTACGGAACCCTTCGTGCGCGAATCCGATTCGCACTTGACTGGTTTTTAAATATGCATACTATTCAAATATACTGCTTATAGACATGTTTTCTCCTGCTAACCAATCTACAGTACAGACACGAATTATGAAATCTTGCAGATCCATGTTATTGTAAGCTGCCTTTTTATGATTTCATTTTTGACCATCATCATTTGCATGCCCTTTTCCCAATTCTATTTGTGGTCGACGCAACATGTCTTCCGCTTCCATTTTCCTCTATCACTCGCAATATCAACACTCACTCCCTTACTGGCCATGTCCTCATTCCCACAATCTATCCATCTTTTTTTCTTCGGTTTCCTCTCCCCGGGTAACCCTCCACTCTCATTATACAGGTTGGCTTATTGAAATGGGTCAGGATGGGAAAGTCTGAAACTATAATATATATGAAGATCTGTTCTTAGGAACAAGATTTTAATAAAAATAAAAACTGCATTCATACATTTAAGAAAAACCCTGTGATCAGCACGGGAATCAAATCCGGTCGTTTTGAAAAAAAGACTTACACTATTTCCTATTTCTAGTTCCTAAGAACAGATCTTCGTATATATTATAGTTCAAACTTTCCCATACTGACCCATTTAAATGAGCCATCTTGTATACTCTCATATTAAATTTTTGACCATTATATAATTATTTGCCGAACAAGGATTGCTGCCTGATTTTTTAAATTGCTTACAAAATCTTTTTGTGCCGACCAAATTATTTAAAGGCTGACCAATTATATACTTCTCATGAAACATTAGTATTTTGTGTAACCTCCTTCTGCATTTAATACGTCTTGTAAACGTTTCCTCATGGAACCAACTACCTTCTCACAAAAACCTCGACCTCTGAACGATTCCCAAACATCATTTGCATGTCGCCTTAAGGCTTCTGTTGTTCGACATTGATTCCCATCCCACTCTTGCACCATTTTACCCCAAAGGTTTTCGATGGGATTGAGGTCTGGACTTTTTGGTGGTAGTTTGATTAAAGTTAGTTCTCTCTGTTCATTAATCCAT